CCCCCGTCCTTCCCCCCCGGGCTCCCCCGTCCCTCCCCTGCCCTGTGTGGGGCTGTCGCCGAGCTGAGTTGCCCCCCGCGGAGCCCCAGCCTGACTTTCAGTTGTCTCTTTGCTTTGTAGAGTTTAGAGAAGATCATTCAGCGGGATTTCTTCCCTGACGTGGAGAAGCTGCGAGCACAGAAGGAATATCTGGAGGCTGAAGAAAACGGTGATTTGGAGAAAATGAGACAAATTGCTATCAAGTTTGGTTCCTCCTTGGGTAGATCGTCGAGGGACACCCCTGCACCATGTAAGAGCTAATTCACTGCAGCAGAAGGATTTCATATCTGATGTTCCTGCTCTGGTTTATATAACTTTGTGCCTGTGATGCTTAAGGTAGACACTGCATAGGAATTAGTGTGCTGGATTGGGCAGTAGCCCCTGTGGCACAGCAGGTGTCCTGTGCTCTAGTAACCACATGAGCCATGTTTTTTCTGTCACAGATGTTACTCCAGCCACGTTTGAAACCCCAGAAGTGCGTCAAGGTGGTCTTCCAGTGGGGAATAAATCCAAAGCTGGCATCAAAGCTACAGAGGAAGGTAGGAGGATGAAGTTTCTCTAGCTGAATTCTTCACCACCAGGAAAATTCTTTGAGGGCTCTGTCTCCTGTGAGAGTTTTGGGTATTCAGCAGATTTTAAGCAGTTTCTTTTAACTTTCTAGTAGTTGAAAATGATGACTCTGAAGTTGGACTTGGACTTAATGTTTTATGTCATATATATGAGTTCTCAGTTATGGATCTCATTATAGCTATGTCAATTCTTAACTCAGCTGGTCCCTTTGGAAGCAGTACATTTTTCCTATCTCATCTGAAACTAACTCTGTAAGTAAGCAAAGATTGTAAGGGTAGAGCTGTTCATATAGTAAGTTGAAAGTGCCAGGTAGCAGCTGCTCACTGCTGCATTTTCCCTTGAACACAAAGAGCTGTAAACACCACAAAAGATTTAATGTGAAAGTTGGCTAGATGTCTTCCAAAAATATTTTTAATATATATATTTGGTGTATTTATATATATATATATATATATGGTATATTGTCCTGGTTTGACCAAGCTTCATGTTAATTATTAGTGGTCCATAGAAGGGTCAGTGTCAGAAGGGGTCAAGACTGGGGATAGTGCTCTCAGAGGAAGGGAGGCACTAACTTTTCTCAGGCTTCTTCCCTTTTCTTGCTAGGAGAAGCAGAAAAAGATGATAAAGATGCACTTCCCAGCCTGGACAGCTTCTTAGCAAAACACACCAGTGAAGACAATGCTTCGTTTGAGCAGATCATGGAAGTGGCCAAAGAGAAGGAAAAGGTCAAGCATGCCTGGCTGTACAGTGCAGAGGAGGAGTATGCCCAGGTAGGGAAATGTCTTGGCTGTACCTCTGCACTTCCCAAGTGGCACAGCAGGGAAACCCCATTTTGCTGTATTTTTTGTTTAATTAACTAGATTATCTTACCCACCCAATGCTTCATTTCAGTTTTGATTAGCAGATAGCAAAAAAGTTTGGACCATCACAAGTATTGTCATAAGGTGTAATAAACAATGTCATAAACATACTCTTTCTGAGAAGTTAGTTCTTTAGTTCTTACTTGATTTTATCCCAGAACTTCACCTGGAGTTGTTGTTTGCAAGCTCCCCTGGGAGCAGGGTGGTTTCTCAAATGGAAGAGTGTGTCATGCCAGGTGCAGCTGAGCTTGTGGTGGAGCTCCCCAAGTTGTGTCTGCCTGGTTAAAAGATTGCAGAATCCTGTTTCAGACCTGATGTTGTGGTTTTTTTCCTTTTTATTCCCATCTCCCTTTCAGCGCCGAACTGAGAACCTGGCACTTCCCTCAGCAGAGCAGCAAGCTCTGGAGAATGTGAAGGCTGGGCTGGAGACCTGGGAGTACACAGCTCGGAACACCCTCATGTATTATCCAACAGGTGAGGTGTGCAGGTGTCTCAGGAGAGGCATTGGTTCTAGGTGGCTTGACTCCAAACAGGGCTTTACAGAGCTCCACTAGGTGACTGAGCAGCTCTTCCTGGTAACACTGCACCTTTTCTTCTCTGAAGATCATATATGTGAATTGTTTTGGTTTTTTTTTTTCTTTTCTTCCTTTGTACTTTGCTCCTTTGCCTGTGACTGCAAAGTTTGATCATGTCCTTTTTGTCAGTGAGAAGCACAGTGTCTGTGAACTTTCTAGTAGTTGAAAATGATGACTCTGAAGTTGGACTTGGACTTAATGTTTTATGTCATATATATGAGTTCTCAGTTATGGATCTCATTATAGCTATGTCAATTCTTAACTCAGCTGGTCCCTTTGGAAGCAGCACATTTTTCCTATCTCATCTGAAACTAACTCTGTAAGTAAGCAAAGATTGTAAGGGTAGAGCTGTTCATATAGTAAGTTGAAAGTGCCAGGTAGCAGCTGCTCACTGCTGCATTTTCCCTTGAACACAAAGAGCTGTAAACACCACAAAAGATTTAATGTGAAAGTTGGCTAGATGTCTTCCAAAAATATTTTTAATATATATATTTGGTGTATTTATATATATATATATATATATGGTATATTGTCCTGGTTTGACCAAGCTTCATGTTAATTATTAGTGGTCCATAGAAGGGTCAGTGTCAGAAGGGGTCAAGACTGGGGATAGTGCTCTCAGAGGAAGGGAGGCACTAACTTTTCTCAGGCTTCTTCCCTTTTCTTGCTAGGAGAAGCAGAAAAAGATGATAAAGATGCACTTCCCAGCCTGGACAGCTTCTTAGCAAAACACACCAGTGAAGACAATGCTTCGTTTGAGCAGATCATGGAAGTGGCCAAAGAGAAGGAAAAGGTCAAGCATGCCTGGCTGTACAGTGCAGAGGAGGAGTATGCCCAGGTAGGGAAATGTCTTGGCTGTACCTCTGCACTTCCCAAGTGGCACAGCAGGGAAACCCCATTTTGCTGTATTTTTTGTTTAATTAACTAGATTATCTTACCCACCCAATGCTTCATTTCAGTTTTGATTAGCAGATAGCAAAAAAGTTTGGACCATCACAAGTATTGTCATAAGGTGTAATAAACAATGTCATAAACATACTCTTTCTGAGAAGTTAGTTCTTTAGTTCTTACTTGATTTTATCCCAGAACTTCACCTGGAGTTGTTGTTTGCAAGCTCTCCTGGGAGCAGGGTGGTTTCTCAAATGGAAGAGTGTGTCATGCCAGGTGCAGCTGAGCTTGTGGTGGAGCTCCCCAAGTTGTGTCTGCCTGGTTAAAAGATTGCAGGATCCTGTTTCAGACCTGATGTTGTGGTTTTTTTCCTTTTTATTCCCATCTCCCTTTCAGCGCCGAACTGAGAACCTGGCACTTCCCTCAGCAGAGCAGCAAGCTCTGGAGAATGTGAAGGCTGGGCTGGAGACCTGGGAGTACACAGCTCGGAACACCCTCATGTATTATCCAACAGGTGAGGTGTGCAGGTGTCTCAGGAGAGGCATTGGTTCTAGGTGGCTTGACTCCAAACAGGGCTTTACAGAGCTCCACTAGGTGACTGAGCAGCTCTTCCTGGTAACACTGCACCTTTTCTTCTCTGAAGATCATATATGTGAATTGTTTTGGTTTTTTTTTTTCTTTTCTTCCTTTGTACTTTGCTCCTTTGCCTGTGACTGCAAAGTTTGATCATGTCCTTTTTGTCAGTGAGAAGCACAGTGTCTGTGTTACAGCAGCACTTGCTTTCCAGAGCCAAAGCTCTTTCCAATTTGGTCTGTCTTACTTGTGGACACTTTCTTGTCACCTTTGTTTGTTCTTTGCTTCTACTCAAAGATTGCTCCAGTGGCTTGTTGGTCCCTTGGTTGCTATAGAAAACTACATCATTTTATAAACAGTTTCCTTTCTGACTATAAATGTACAATTTATTGTTTCTGCAACCAATCTGTGAAGTAGAGAAAAGGAAGTCTTTTCTAAAATAATCCCTAAAGTCTGATCTTAATTTATACATTTCAGGTTTTACAAAGCATGTGTCCAGTGCAAATCTTGTTATAATTGCTAGAGATAGACACTGCACTTGCTGGTGGATTCTGTGTTGTGTACGAATGGGTGGCAAATGTCATGTTGGTTGGGAGCTTTAGAGCACATTGCCTGGTGTTACCTGAGCTCTTCCTGACAAGACTCTCTGGATTTCCAGGTGTACCTGATGAGGATGATGTGTTTAAGAAGCCCAGGGAAGTTGTGCATCGAAACACACGTTTTGTGAAGGACCCTTTTAGCCAAGCTGTGAGCAAGTCACAGCTCCAACAAGCTGCAGCCCTCAATGCCCAGGTTGGATAATTTTCCTTCTGACTAAAACCTTGTTGGACTCTGCCCTCTGGTTTTGCTCATCAACCAGGACAGCTCTGTGTGTCCTGGGTACAGCTGACTCATACTCTTCTCCACATGAGTGGCATTGTCTTTTTCTGTTTCAGTACAAACTGGGCAAAGTGGGACCCGATGGGAAAGAGCTGATACCCCAAGAGTCTCCAAAAGTGAATGGATATGGATTTGTAGCTACCCCCTCTCCTGCCCCTGGTAAGACAGTTGTCTTTTGTTTTGGGTTTTTTTTTTTTTCTGATGCAAGAGGACTGGAGCTGCACTTATTGTGATGTTCTGTGTGTTGAGTGCTGGGGTGTTGTGGTTTTAGACAATTCTATCTGTGTGTGCCTCATGAGCTGGTGACTTTCTTGTGTACTGTGTATGCCAGTTTGATGCAGGGCCTAAATCCTGGTCCAGGCCCCAGGCAGAGGTCATTCTGTGCCTGAGAGGCTCTGAACCAGCTGCTGTACCATTGCTTAGGAATCATCTAGAGGGTGCTGAGCCTCCTTAGGCAACAGGGATGCTGTGGCTGCTTCTTGTATCCCTGGGTGATGCTTTTCTACAGCTTAAAGATAAGAACTGAAACATTTCACAAACATTAACCTTTTAACAAGTTCAGTTGCTTATTTTTCAAAAAAAGGAGCATTCATGTCAATGTCCAGTAGTTTGCTGAGTGGTGGCTTAGCCTGTCTAAAAATTGAAACATAATGAGGCCTTTCCTCCAGGAAGCCTGTAGGTGGCATTTGGAGCCCACCTCCTTTCTCCACTGTAAATGCCTTTTCCAAACCCAGAAAAGCAGGATTTTCTAGACAGTGACCTAACCTGGCTCTTAGAATCTATTTTGCAGTTGTAGCTGTTAGGCAAAGGGCAGTCACTGCTACAGGCTGGCCTAGAGAATTGAGGGTATGTTTGGCTATTACATGTATCTTAAGTCCTCTGCTCATTTTCCTGCTTTTAAATAGTTTCCCATGTTGAAAGAGTTTCCATACAATGGCAGAGAGGAAGGCTAGTGCTGTAGGGCAAAAAATGAAGGTGGCACTAAGCAAAAACTCACCAAATGGAAAATAAACACATGAATTGACAGGGTCTGGCTGTAGTAACCTAGAGGGTGGTACAGCCAGAGACAATGCTGGGATTTTAAGGTGATGCCCTTTTAATGGGAACCACATGTTACTGTTCAGTGTTGGCTGGAATTTCCTCTGCCAGGGAGGGGCTCCTTGGTGTGCTGATGAACTTGCTGCATTTCATAGTTTGCTTCTCTGAGTTCTTTGTGGTGAATGAATAGTCAAATGTCTTGCATGAGAGTGACTTCTAAAATTTTATTTTAGGTGTGAATGAGTCTCCTTTTATGACATGGGGGGAAATTGAAAGCACCCCTTTGCGCCTGGAAGGGTCAGAAACACCCTATATGGACAGAACACCTGGACCAGCCTTCAAGGTATTTCATGTCGGGAGTCAGCATGTCATTCTTTTTAGGGGGGAAGGACTAAGGAAGGAAAGGCAAGTGAGTAACGAGTAGATTAACATTGTTTTGGGACTTGGGGCACCTCTCTGGGCTATGTTCCTAGTCCTTGAGACTAAGAATCTTTGGAGAGTGGAGGTGGACGTGGTTCCACATGAAAGCTACTTGGAGATACCTGAGGTGGGACACGTACTGTTAACAGGAGAGTGAGACTCAGCATTTTATGAGAGGCTCAGAGAAAGGGGCTTCCAGAGGAAGCTGGAGAGACACATGATCTCCCTGATCTTAATATGTGAATGGGTAGAAATTGTAGGATTTCCCTCTGCCTTGATCTTCTGGCTGTGTAAGCCTGAGGCAGGTGTATCACTTGAGAGCAGAAAAGACACTCTGTCACTCTGTCTCTGTTAATGGCAGTTGGCCCTGCATGCTACCTGACTTCTGGTGCCATTGAATGTATGGTGGCTGAGTCTCTTAGTTTAAGAAGGGTGTAATTTGCTGTATGTGCCTTTGTTTAGTCAGGCTCTGAAGCCCTTGACTGGTTCTCCTGCTGTTTAGCAATGTCTGTTTGCCTGGGAGCTGGCTGGCTGCAGGCCAGGCCAGCCAAGACACAGGTGACATTGTTTGACTAGGAGAGACAGCAGGAGGAAATGCCAGAGGTAACAGCTGCTTCCTTGGCTGAACTGGTTGTACCATTTTTGTTACTTGCTAAGGCAGGTTGAAGGTCTCTCTGTGTCCTCTCCAGCTTTTATACAGCAGCAGAGAGGTATGGGCCGACCCCACTTCTCCCCAGTTTAGGTCCCAGTAGTCAAAGGTGCTTTGAGTCAGTGATGCAGCACTCCAAGTGCCTTGGCCAGTGACCTGTGTGCTGCATTGATAGATCCTGGAGCCCGGGCGCCGGGAGAGGCTGGGACTCAAGATGGCCAATGAAGTGGCAGCTAAAAACCGAGCCAAGAAGCAGGAGGCAATTCGGAAAGTCACAGAAAACTTGGCCAGGTGAGGCTTCTGTTCTGACAGCAGAATTGGGGATGGGGCTGTTCTGATGGGATTTTCAACCACGCATAGAAAGGGGGCAGTGATAAAGAGTGCTGGAAGCAGGAGGTACAGCCAGACTGAAAGTTTCTACAAATTAAAAAAATCAGTTCCTGAGGGAAAGTGACTGGTGGCTGTCCCTGCTGCTTCCTCCTGTCAGCATTAGTGTCCTGTCCTGCAGCCACCCAGCAATGCCTCTGGATCCCTGTCCTGCCTCACTGCAAAGAGCAGACATGATAAGGCAAGGCCTGGCTGGGGCACAGGAGGACAGAATGGGCTCAGAGGAAAGGGCAGGCAGAGCCACTCAGCTCTGGGAGGGATGCAGGAGGTTTCTCTGTCACTTGTCTCCCTGGAGACATGGGCTGTGTTTACCTGCAGGCAGAATGATTGCTGCAGCCAGTGGATCTGGCCTGTGGGGGGAGTGGGCACTGAGCCTCTTGTGGAAGCATTGATACTCTTTCTGATAAATGGCAGATTTTTACTGTCAAATTGTTTAAAACTGTTTATTCCATTCCAGCCTTACTCCAAAAGGACTAAGCCCAGCAATGTCACCAGCTTTGCAGAGACTGGTGAACAGGACTGCAAGTAAATACACAGACAAGGCCTTGAGAGCCAGCTATACCCCTTCCCCAGCCCACACAGGAACTCCTGGCTACAAGACCCCAGGAAACGGGCCTCACACACCCACAAGCACCCCACAGCCTCCAGCAGTATCTCAGACACCAGCATCTCAGGATACTACATCCATCACAGACAATTTACTGCAGCTTCCTAAAAGAAGGAAGGCATCTGATTTCTTCTGAATATTCCAGTCATCAGCAAGATGATAGTGATGTGGCCCTGCTCAGCTGTCTGCAAACTGGATGCTGTGAGACATTGTTAGTGAGGGAGGGGTCTAGATACAGCTGTGAGAACAGAAGCCAGCAGCTACAAGATCTGGGACCAGAGCTACTCTAGATTACATAGCTGAAATAGCCTGTGATGTGCTTTTTGGAAGCATCTCCTGCTGTGGTGTAACTCTCCTTTGAACTGCATGGGTGGGATGCACAGGGCTGCTGTAAGAAAATGATGCTTCCTGCAGTGGCAGAGAAGGTTCTGGACTCTTGGAAAAATGTTGATAATTTTTTAAAGATTGATTTCTCTTTCTAAGATGGCTATGCATTTAATTACCTTTCTGTACAAATATGTCTATTTATAAAATGTGGGAAACCTTCCTAAAAGGTTGGACTGGACTTTATTCCAGCTTGTCAAACATGTTTGATTTTGTACTTTGCAGAAGGGGTGAGGTGTATTTTGAGACATGACTCAGAATTTTACTGGGCTTCTCTTTAATCCAAGTGGAGCTTAAACAGATGCTCTTGAACATAGAGTGGGCCTGTCAAAAGAGTTGGTACATTCTGAAAACAGTGTGCAGACTGTTTCAGACATCAGTTCACACTTTGTAATAACCTGCCCTCTTACTTAACTGAATCCAAAGTGTGGTTGATGCACATGTGAATTCTGCAGCCAGAACTTGAGAAATGTGAGCATAAGAGCTGTGAAGTGTCAGCAGCACTGGAAGAAACTTTGCAATGTACTTTGACAGTAACTTCTCATCCTCACAAACCGTATCAGGCAGGTCTTGTGGGAATAGTGGTTAAGCTGTTTGTTCACCTCAGCAGATGTACTGTCTTCTCTTGCTATACTTTGTACAACAAAAGAGGAGGACTACTGCTGAAAGGGTCCAGAGAAGCTGAAGCTGAGAACCAGCAGTTCATAAATTAGGCCAATTTTGTGATATTGTTAGAACCAGCCATGCTTGAGAGGATCCTGTTTCCATCTCCTTCCCTTTCTGCAAAATGGGATTTGGCTTGATGCTTGTGCTCAGGCTTTCCTTCCCACAGGCTTTGGGAATGCTCCCCTTCTGCAGCTGGCAAATGGGAAGGGATCATGAAATTTGAAGTCTGCACACATGAGTGTTTCGAAACTGTGTTTATTCACAACCTCTGAGACACATTGGGCTGGAGCAAGTGGTAAGTGAGGTCCCTGCACTCTACAGCTAGGTGCTTTGAGCTGGGCAAGGACATTAAAGTGTGGACCATTGTATGCAGGATGACATGCAGGCTCCAGATGTCAGAAATCTTGGGGTAGCAAGGAATGCTCTGTAGCACTTCAGGGGCTGCATAAACAGCAGGCCCAGCAAAGGGTTTGTTCAGAATAGTTCTGTTTTCATCCTGAGACAAGGGTTTGGAAAAGGCAAATTCTCACAGCATGACACTTAGTCTTCATTGGGAAAGATGTCTGAGTTGTAGCAATGCTTGATGCCCCTGTGCAGGGCACTCAAAAGGACCTTTCAGTCCTGCTATAAAGCTACAAAAGTATGTTATCCAGGGCAAATCTTCACATCAAGTTACTGAGAGACAGTAACTTGAGAGACATGGGTTGTACTCTGCCTTGTTCATCAAATGATCTTTATATTTATATTTTAGTTTTGCTAACAGGATGGAAGTAGCTTAAATGTTCTTTCCCAAAAGATACCTAAGTCTTTTTGTATTTACTCACCTGTCAGGTGAAATTTTGTCTGTCTTCATTTTGAATGTCTCAGATGAACTTCCAGTCCCCAGATGGGTTTGCTTCTGGTTTATTGTGGTATTGTTCCTCTTCAGTCAGCTTTCCTCAACAGGGATGGGAAGCTGCTTTTCTTATTTTCACTGGGACTGTGCTCAAGAACTGTTGGCTTTGCGTATTTTGTTGTTTGTGCTGTGTTGGTTTTTGTTTTGTTTTGTTTTTCCCCATAAGCTTGTTAGGGGAAGGTGGCGACTTCTCATAAGTTTATTTCCTTGTTGTTCATCCAGCCCTTCTGTTTTGGAGCTCTGACAATTGGCTTCTTTTGTGAGCTCTGCAGCTGGCTTGTTCTTAAACCCTTTCTGGGTGAGGGAGTTATGTTTTAACTTCCATCTTCTGTTGTTCTTGAGAAAAGCTCACACCAACACCTTCCTCAGAATGGCTCAGAGATGATTGTTTTGCATATTGATTGCTTCACTGTAATCAGCCTCTGAGGCTTTTTGTTTTGTGGTGATTTCAGCTTTTTCCCATTTGTTTTTACAGCTGCAAAGTGTGTGACTCCAAAGACTTGATGTTGATGATCACACCACAGAGAGGGGCTAGGAACAATCCTGCTTGATCCACCAGCATGGATGGCAGTGTCATTCTGAAGAACAGAAGTGATGCTTGATGAGAGCCAGACTGGGGCTCTTGTTTGATTTTTAATTTTTTTCTGCCCGTTCTTTGAAACTTCTGGCTAATTTTTATAGTTAGCAAAGAAATCCCCCCACAACCTGAAGAGCAGTTTTAACCATACAGAGCCTGCACTGAGAGCTGTGACTGCTCCAGTAGGAGCTGACCTTTGAGTGTGGGATGAGCACTTGTGTGGTGGGATCCAGCCTGGAGAGGCACTGAGCACCTTTTAGCAGGAAGCAGGTGTAGCCACACGTGTGCACTTCTTGCACCACACCTGAGGACAAGACAGCCTGTGTGACATTTGGCAGGCTGGACATGTGCTATAACCAGGTGATGTTTTACCCAGGGAACATCCTCTAAGCAGTGTCTGCACTTTCTGTAAGGTCTGGGGTGTATGATGCCTCATTGATGTTTGTGGAAAGCTTCCTCTTGGGCACTTTCCACTGCCACTTCCAAAACTCATGTCCCTCCCTATGGAAAAACCCTTCCAAGGGACTGGAGTTTTATAGTGCACTATAATGGAGAGAGGAATTCTGATACCTGAGAATAATTAGTTCCATGTTGTGCAGTCCATGCTTAAAAGCAGATTGCATTAAATATCCTGTGGGTCAGTGTTGATTTTCTGTTAGTCCCCAAGTGAATTAACCTAAAGAGCCCTACTAAAATCACAGTTTCAGTTCTGCCAGGGTGAAGGGCCTTCATGTATTTGTTGGGAATGTAATTTATTTTCAGTGAAATGCTGTAAAACTGGATCTCTTGAGGGGGATGCTGTGCTCTTCAGATGGGCTATTCCTGTAACACCTGCTGCAGTGTCTGGTCTGTGCTTCCTGCTGCAGTTCAGCCCCTGCAATCTGTAATTAGAGCATTAGTGGGCTCTTTGTTGCCAGGTTTTATTTTTTTTTGCTCGTGTAACACCAGCAGACAATGTACCTTACAGGGTCAAAGCCAGGGTGAAAAAAAATCTTGGTTGATGGTGACTCATGATTTTTTCCTCCCATTTTTCAGAGGATTCTTCTCACTGTTCTGTGTCTGCATTTTCCTCTGTGCAAGGCCCAGACATGCTTCCTCCTTCAGCCAAAATAGCCTCCAGAGCTCCCTAAAGCTGCAGAGGTGGTTGGTGGTGAGTGGTAGGGCTCTCCTGGGTGGGAGGGCTGGCTGTGGGGGGGTCCTGGCTGCTTGCAAGAAATCATGGGAGCCCCAGTGGAGCTGGGGCCATGTGGTGTGACATGGGGCTGTAACATCAGAGACTGTGGATGCTTCCTTGTGTAGACTGGGGTTTGGCTCCTTGCCCCAGGCAGGGAAGAAAATGAGGGACCCTAAGGGCTTCTTGCTCTTGTAAGTGGACAGAAAATAGGGGCTTTATGGCTGATTTGGGGAACAGCAGGGGGTAATTCTTAAAAAGTTGCAAGAACTGTTAGTGAGGAGGAGGGATGAGTTGCTGAAACCTGGATGGAGAAGGCAGGCTCAGATGCCTTGAAGAAGCCAAATGCTGATTACAACGAGAGAGTCCTGCTCTTTGTGGGGAAAGAAAATGCTAAGCAGCAACACAGGGTGAGAAGGGAAACTCTCAGTTACACCTGCCATGCTTTGAGCAGAAAGCCAGGCTGGAGTAGTCAGAGGAGAGGTGGGGGCACTGCCGTGGGGCTCCAACTCAGTTTTGGCCATGAGCCAGGTCTTGCAGGGACCTGAGTCTGCAATGGGACTTCCCAAAGGCACCAAAGCTTGTTCCTTCTGTATGAGCACTTCCCTAGGGCAGAGGTAGCCACCCCTGCACCCACCTGAAAGTGGGTTCCAGTGAGGTCTCAGGGCTGCTTTCTGCTTCTCTGATTATTTAGCTCAGAAGGGAAGCTGTGGTTGCAGATACTACGTTGTTTTGGAGGACTAAGCTAAATCTCTGCAAAAATAAAGGAAATTAATCTGCTTACTCAGGGAAGGGGGAGACAGAGCAATTCCCACTTCCTTATATTTGGATTTGTTGCCTCAACCCCAGCTGGCTGCAGCTGGTCCCACAGCAGGGGCTGCAAACCCCAGCTTAGAGCCAGGCCAGGGGGAGAGCTGGGTTCAGCCTCCATCCCTGTGAGCCCCTTCCCACATCCCAGGCACAGCAGCTTCTCTCCACTCATTTTTGGGCACAGGTGATCTGCACTCACTGGTCAGAAACACGTTCCCAGTGGGACACCTGGGCTGATCCAGCTCCTGCACACCCAGAGGCATTTGGTGTGTTTTCTTTAGCACGGTCCATCCTTGCCCCTCCTCCCTGGGGCATTGGGCTGCCCCCAGCTACCCTGGACACAGCTCCCAGTGTCCCAGTCTCCCACTCAGGGCTTGTGTGGCCACACAAGGTGGCCCTGCCTGGGGCTCCTGCAGCTGGGCCAGGCCATTGGCAGTCCCATCACCTTGGTACCCCCAGCGTTACGATGCTGGGCACAGCCTGGTGCAGGGCAAGGGGAGCCTCTTACCCCTCACCTTTGTGCTCCTGTGTGACCAGGCCATTCATTACCTATTCCCTCAGCTGCTGTGCTGTTTGTGGTGCTTACATGCATGCTCCAGACCTGGCACACGGGCTGTGGGAACAAGGGCTGTTTTCCTGGGTGAGAAGCCAGGGAGGAGCAACCGTACCCTGCTGGGAGGGGAGCGCTGCTGGCACGCCAGAGGCATCACAGAGCATTTACTTCTATGTGGGCCATGGGGTGTCATGGGCTTGGGGTGTAGAAGGAATGTCCTGGATCAGCCTGGGTGCAGCTGGGCTGAGAACAGCTTCTCCCCACAGCATCCCTCAGGAGGAACAAAGCTGGGGCGTTTGATGCTCGTGCCTTGGTGCTGGAGGATGTCGTCACTCCTCCGGTCCCCACGGGCACTCAGATCGTGACAGTACTTGGCAGCCCAGGAGAGCTGGCAAAATGGGTTTTGTCCTAAATCTTCAGCACCCCCTTGCTTCTCATGACGCAGTCCAGCACGTCCCCAGGCACACGTGTCCTCTGCCGAGGGCTCACAGGTCCAGGTGGTGGAGCCACAGCTTGTACTTGCTGCTATCCCAGCTCGGGGTCTTTGTGGGCACCAGTTTCCACTGCTACTTTAAACATGACACTTAACTAAGAGCTTATCCCTGGTCCTGCTGTCCTGAGCACAGGCAGGGGCTGGGGGGAAGGAGAAGCAATGTGAGAGTAGAGGTACCTGTACATCCATCAGGAATATTCCCGAGGGAAGTTTGCTGCTGGGTATAAAGAGTAATTGGTCTCAACAGGGAATCAGAGACTGTATGACTTGGTTAAAATGCTCCTTACTGGAATGCCCATGTTTTATCTGAAAACTTTAAATTGTAGCATAAAAGCAAAAACCACTTTGTTGTAACATACTTCTAGATACTTTAGTTCAACAACATTACAACAACAACAATAATACTACTAATAATAATACAACTTCCCAGGCAGCATCCCAGCTTTTGGCTTTACTGAAAAGCTGGAATTCCCTGCAAAGGAAAGTGCTGATTCCCTGTGACCCCAGCAGCCACCATGGGATGTCCACTACACCTGGTTCTGCCTGAACACTGCTCCTGTTCTCCCCATCATCGGAGGAAATTCCAGCTCAATTTGGGCAGTGGGTGTTGAAGGTGAAATTGCCTTTTGATCCCAAACACCACCCAGACTGACCTCCAGCCTCGGGAGAGCTGTGGCTCTGGGGATAGTGCCACCTCCCCAGGCTGGACTCCTGGCAGGGACAGCCACCACCCTGCCTGGCCTGACGTGCAGCAACACCCAGGGTCAAATTCCTACAGGCACCTGTCATTTTCAGGGCCATTAAAAATTATCTGTGCTGCACAATTAATTCTCTTTATGCATTTCCTCTCTGGCTGGGTCTAGGAACTGGGAACACAGTGTTTCCAGGAGGTATGGGAACACCAATTAGCTCAGGCATTCACATGATGCTGGGAGCTGTCCCACTGGGGCCCCTGGGTGTCACCTGTGCATGTCCTGCATGGCAGGAGATCCCTGCAGATGTGTGAAAACAGGGACTGTCTAATTCTGTGGTGGGCAGGTGGGAGCAGGTTAATGAAGCAGGCTAACAATGGCCAATTTCAGAGCCCCCTGGGGCTGGGAAACCCCAGGGAACCCCAGCGCTTTGGTGGCAACAGGGTGACAGGGCTGGGAAGTCCTCATGGCAGCAGGGAAAGGCCACAGAATCACTTAGGTTGGAAAAGACCTTTAAGATCATCAAGTCCAACCATTAACCCTACTCTACCAAGTCCAGCCCTAAGCCATATCCCCAAGTGCCACATCTAGATGAGTTTTAAACACATCCAGGGATGGTGACTCAGAGACCTCCCTGGGCAGCGCATTTCAATGTCTGACAACCCTTTCCATGAAAAAGTTCTTCCTAATGTCTAGCCTAAACCTCCCCTGGAGCAGCTTGAGGCCATTTCCTCTTGTTCTATCAGCAGTTACTTGTGAGAAGAGACCAGCACCTACCTCTTACAAGGTCCTTCCAGGCAGTTGCAGAGGGCGATGGGGTCTCCCCTCAGCCTCCTTCAGACTGAGCAGCCCCAGTTCCCTCAGCTGCTCCTCGTAAGACTTGTTCCTGAGGCCCTTCCCCAGCTTGGCCGCCCTTCTCTGGACACGCTCCAGCCCCTCGGTGTCTTGTACCGAGGTGCCCCAAACTGGGCACGGGGTTCCAGGTGTGGCCTCACCAGTGCTGAGCACAGAGGGATGGAGGGGGCTGGGAACTGCGGCCCGGGGGACACAGGGGATGGGGAAGGACTGTCTGGTGGAGCTGGGGCTGAGCGGGAATGGCCACGGCGGGCCTGGCAGGGCCATCCCGGGGGAACAGCAGCGGCTGCTCGGTGGGCACAGAGGGCACCGGTGCGGCCATCCAGGGAGGACGGAGGTGGCTGTTGAGGGAGGAGCGGCAAGGAGCGGGCCCGGCCGTCCCGGGGGTGCCGGTCCCGAGGGGCAGGGCCCGGCCGAGCGGCGGGTCCCAGG